GGGGGGGGGTAGGAGCCCTGAGCCTCAGGGTTTGGATCCAGGCAACCCCAGGGACCGCAGGTTCCCCACTCCTGACCTAGCTTGTTAAGTTAGGCATTAGTTGCAGTTTCCTTTTGCCAATTCTGAGTTTTATGCCTCATTACTGGTAATCACTTAAAATCTTTTCATAGTTAATAAATGCTTTTTTGTCTTATCTGAACCTGTATGATTGCACTGAAGTGTGTGGGAAACTCCATTTGAAGTAACAGGATTTGTGTATATCACTTTCCAAATTAATCAAATGACAGGCTTTATGTGAGCACATATGGACCAAAAGAGTTGGGCAGTACTAGATTCTGGATAAAGTCTGGGACTGGGAATTTGCTGGTTCCTCCACAATGTAAATCAAAGGGGACTGGCAACAACACTGATGTATTATAACTGGGAGTAATTTACATGTGAAGGCTGTTTATGAGCAGACCACAAGTTGAAGTTCTCACAGCAAAGCAGTGTAAAAAGCACCCCAACCTTGGAGAACAGAGAGGATACAGCTATTCATCACTCCAGGTTGTACCCTGAGTAATGTCATGGAGGGAAGCTATGTAACAAGGTTCCTTTCCTTTCAGTACTGCACGTGGAGTGGCAAGATAAAGCCAGACCACTAAGTATTGATTCAGTGCTGAAAAGTATGAGGGGCTCCCCTCTAGGGATGTAAAAGTGTAACCATGTACACGATTAACCGATGAGCCTGATGGGTTCATCAGTTAATGGGAAGTTACATGCAGTCCCTTCCACGCCTCCCCCCGCAGCCTCCGCATCACAGACAGCAGCACGGGGGAGAGGGGACAGAAGAGGCCAGTGCTCACAGTGAGCCAGCTTTGCCTCCCTCCCGCCACCCCATGCTGCTGCAATGGATGCAGCAGCATGGAGGGGGGGCAGGCGAGAGCCAGTGCTAGCAGGAAGCCAGCTTAAAAGCCAGCTCCTCACATGCACTCCCCACGTGTAACCACTGAAATGTTTAGTGGTTACATATTTAAACAAACTCATTTTAATATCCCTAGTCCTCCCCTTTCCAAGCAGTCATTTGTGATGTTTGTGTCTAAGACAACCTTGATACTCACAAAAATTTTATTTGCACATTATCTGGCATAAATTTGTATAACTCTACTGAAATAAATAGAGCTATGATTATTTATATCGATGATTCGAGTGACTCTGGGAATAAAGATATCGCAGCCCACTGGGAGCTCACAGGCCTGGTAACTTCATAAATCACATGGGCTACAGCATGCACATGTACACTCATGAATGTCTTGAGAAAACATTGCCATCTAATTTGAAAGACTAGATGGACCTACCAAAAACTCGCTTTGTCCTATAAAAACTGAGCTCAGTCAGGTTGCAAAAGTGAAGACAGAAAATTTCAGAGAGGACCACCAGTTCAGATCTTCCCTTTTTTTTTTTTTTTTTTTTTAAATGTGCAAGCACAATTTTAGATTTCTCCCCCACTGCAGCATTTTCATGAAGCAAAAATTTCATAAACACCACTAGATGGTGCTGCAAGTTTAGAACTTGGAGCAATCTAATTCTAGGATGCTTTGAGTTTTGAGGGTTTCTAGGCATAGTCACTATAATATGGAAAGTTTTAGTAAATTCTTCTGCATTTTCACATTATAAGACCATACAACGGTCTGCAATTAAATATATATACGAAGCCACTCATTGGTTATGGCATGTAACCTTTTAAGTGTGGTCAGATGTACTATATATTGTACAGTAACTCCTCACTTAATGTCCTAGTTAATGTTTCATTGATACTTTGCTTATCTGTTAGAGCATATGCTTGTTTACAATTATGCAGTGCTCCCTTATAATGTCATTTGGCTGCCCATTTTGTCCACTACTTACAGGATTTTCGGGAAGCCTGTCCTTGTGGGGATTTGGAACCATGGGAGAATTGTAACACTCTGGCCCCATCAGCTCCCCTAAGGTCCCTGAAAGGTATGCAACTGCAGTTCAGCTGCTCCTCCCTTGGACTGCCATGCTGCTCCTGCCCTCTCCCTTGGAGTGGCTCCAGAGAACCTCCTGCTTGCTGTGTGGAGGAGGGAGACAGGGCAAGAGGGGTGCTGATGTCAGTACACCTCCTCTACAAAGCAGGATATCATAGCTATAGAATCTTGTGTCTGGACTTCCTGGTCTACTTACAAGGGCAATGTACTTGAAGTGGGGTCAGTAAACTTAAAGGGACAATGCACATCTCTGTCGCCTCTTTCTCTTTCTGGGTGTGTTTTAAGAGAAAGAGGAAGAGGAAGAGAAAGAGGAAGAGGGTGTGTGTGTGTGTGTCACACACCGTTCTTAGGACTATGCAGGTGTGTATGCACCCAGACGAGAGAGTGGTGAACGCCAGTTGGATAGTGGGAGTTCATCATCATGTTCAATTTCTGCAGAAGCGTTTGAAGCTATTCCTTTGCATCTATTGTGTTTTCTGCCTCTAGCCTCAGTCCATGCTGCCTTGTAAAGTGAGGGGCTAGATTAACAACATGTTATCCATTGAAAGAGTACTGAACGCCAGTTCATCATTTATCAGCAAGACATTTCCTGGAAAATATTTCACCTTCTGACTCGACCATCTCAACCGCGCCTCACAATCATCATGGCTGTGTACAGTACTGTTTGTTTAATTTTTAAAAAATGTACAGTGTATATACACATACAATTTATTTTGTTTGCTGAAAAATATTTCCCTGGAACATAAACCTAAGTAACATTAATTCTTATGGGGACATTGGATTCACTTAACATTGTTTGCTCAAAGCAGCATTTTTCAGAAACAGAACTACCATGTCAAGTGAGGAGGTACTGCATTGTCAATGTAATGTCTTTAAGATAGGTTTTGATCACACTAAGCAACAGAAGACACACAAAACAGAGGTTCCACCCTGTTGTATACTTGTATAGTGGTTCATGCTAGAGTACCAATCATATCTTAGAACTCTGGCAGCTAAGGAATGGATATTTTCAGACCATAATACTGGCCTCTCTCAAAATGGCAATTTAGACAACATCCTGACAAATGTTAAGCGTGTAACAATTTGTACTTGTATAGCAACAAACAGAACAAAAAAAAAAATTAGGAGCTAAAAAAGTGGCTCACACTTAATTTTCTCACTATCTCATAAAAAAAAATAGCACCCAGGCCATCAGGTTCTTTTTTCAATGTCTCTCCCATTGATGTCAGCAAACTAAAAGTGATGTGGAACAAGCAGACATTTCTGTGATGAAACTGAAGGGATGGCAGAAGTGGAGAAAACATCTTGCAAAGAAAGTACAAGCTAGTGCAGAGAAGTTCTTAAATAACTGTTCTTTGGGTTAATGATGATGAATTTTTCAACCAGGTGACACGCACCCCGAATTCAGATGCCATCCATCTTCCGTTATCAAAAAATAGAATTCTCAGAGGGGTAGACATGTTAGTCTTGTAGCTTTAAAAACAATGAGTAGCATCTTAGAGACTAACAAAAATATGTATAGTATCATGAACTTTCATAGGAAAAACCCACTTCTTCAGATGAGCTGGAGTGGGGGGGAGGGGAAGGGAGGGAAATGGGAATCCAAAATGTATAACAAAAAAAGAAGAGAGGAAAAAAAATACCTGTCAATTACAGTTCCTGTACTCATGAGCCTAAATTGAGTGGGTTAAAAGAGATGCCCACTGGTGTTCTGTTATTTTCCTCGCTGGGCCTGTCTTCACAGAGAAGTTAAAACACATTGAGGAGCCCCAACTGATTCTGCTCTCAATTTATCAATCCCTTTCAATATACCTGTAATTTCAAAAGAATTAATATATTAGGTAGACAACTTACTCTTCCAGCTTCATCCAGGGCAAGAATGCAAGCCTTTTGACCCCCATTTTCTTTGAGATGTTGAGGATCCATCTTGTATTCCAAATATCCCCCATTAACAAGAACCTTTTTTAGATTCAACTGTCTGAATGAACACAAAAGGAAAGATAACAATGATTTTTAGGAGAAATATTAAACATGTATAAGGAAGTGATTTACATGTACAGAATCACTTTAAAAAACAACTAAGGTAACATACATAGTTTTTTACTATGATGATGTTTAATTTTCCCTTGTGGTAGGTCTACAAGTCCTTAAAAACAGAACATTTTTGCGGCTTCAGATATCTCATGTCCATCCATTCTTCAAAACAGGTTACCTTTGTCTCTACAGGGAGAATATCCTATTGTAAAGAACTGGTGAACAAGTAAAAAAACCTAAAAATAAACTTCAAGCTCAAGAGCCCTGGGAGAGAATTATAGCTGTTTCGGACAATTTTGGCATTTAATACTTTTTTTTAAAGTTACTTCTATTGAATTGAAAAAGGGAGGAGTCACAGAGCACAGTATGAAAACAAAATTAGTTACCAATTCATCTTTCGTTTCTGTGTTATTTCCTCAACACAAACTGATCCATTTGACCAATCTCACCCAGAGGGAAAGAAGTAAAAAAGGCTACTCTCCCCACCCTTTACATTATAAAGACTGCTACCAAAAGGTTTTACAGGATGTCTAGACAGTTGTAAAGAGTGGACATGGTAAAATAAACTAAGTACAAAAGGGTGCCTGTTTTCAGTACAGGCAGTCCCCGACTTACGCGGATCCGACTTATGTCGGATCCGCACTTATGAACGGGGCTTTCTCGCCCCGGAGGACAAGGTGGCGGATCGCTGCCTGCGAGCTCCGGGGCGAGAAAGCCCCGTTCGTAAGTGCGGACCCGACATAAGTCGGATCCGCGTAAGTCGGGGACTGCCTGTATAACATGATCCAATGGTTTGAAGTTAGACAAATTTAGTTTACTCCTTATTTCCAAATTGGAATAATTTATGAAGGCCTGCGTGAGTGCCCCAGGAAAAGGTAACAAAGTTTTATTGGTTAAAATTTTATCAGTTACATGGCTAATTTTTCCCCCATTTTTTACATCCCTAATCCCTTTCAGTCTTGGAATCTAGGACAAAGCTACCTCTCACTAGGAATGTAAACATTTGTTTTAAAAATTTAACCATGCAACTGCTAAAAATCATAGCTGTTATACACACTGTGAGCTATGCCTTATACTTCTCACATTCCACCTCTTGGTTTTCATATAGAACAGATTTGTTCTACATCCCTAGACACTTTCAGTTTTGGAATCTACTTAAATAAGCTTCAGTAGGGATGGGAACAACTAGCTGACTATCAAATAAGCAAATGCTTATTGGATAGTCAACACACTAGTTGCTCCCCCACTCTTGCTGCCTCTATCAGAAAGAGGCAGCGGAGGGGGTGCTTCAAAACAATAGCTCTGCCATGTGGTGCCTGGGGCCAGACTCTGGGCTCCAGCAGCGCTGCCACTTTGAAATGCCATGTGCAGCCCGGGGACAGCTGAGGAGTCCCCAGCTGGCCCTGGGCTGCACTCTGTTTCAAAGCAGCAGTGGCAGGGCCATGGGGAACCCAGGATCAGCTGGGGACTCCTCTGCTGACCCTGGCCTCCATGCTGCTTTAAAATGCCACAGGGAGCACAGGGCCAGTGGGGGACTGCTTGAGTGCCCCACTGGCCCCATGCTCCCTGCAGCACTTCCACCTCTGAAGAATAGAAACAGTCCTGAGGCTGTTGCTACACTTCAAAGGTGGAGGTGCCCTTATCAACTAATAGAATAGTTGTGGTCAGTTTCAGCAGCGGCTGAATCTGGACGCCAGTTCCGACTTACATACAGATTCAACTTAAGAACAAACCTACAGTCCCTATCTTGTACGTAACCCGGGGACTGCCTGTAGAGTAGGGGATAAGTAAAGCTCCCAACACCACAATCTGAACACTGTATTAGGAGATCTGTATTCACAGCCCAAAGAATCATACAAGTGATCATTAAGCAAAGTTATACTAAGCATGCAAAAATTAGGTTCCTGCAGGACTTACAGTATTGACAGTCTCCTGAAAACACTAGAATGCTACACATAAAATGTTTTACACTGAAAGGTTCCTCTTCCTCTAGTTTCAAGATCATATCCATCACCCCTTAATTCAAACTTAATTATTTAAGAACATAAGAAGGGCTGTAGTGGCTCAGACCCGAGGTCCACCTAGCTCAATGTCTTGTCTTCTGACAGTGGCCAGGGCCAGGTGCCCCACAGGGAATAAACAGATCATGTATTTATCAAGTGAGCCATCCCGTTGCCCATTCCCAGCTGTGACAAACAGAGGGTAGGCAAATCATTCTTGCCCATCCTGGCTAATAGCCAGTAATGGCTCTTTCCTCCATAAATGTATCTAGTTCTTTCTTGAACCCCATTAAAGTCCTGGTCTTCACAACATCCTCTGGCAAGAAGTTTCACAGGCTGACTGTATATGCACTGTGTGAAGAAAGACTTCCTTTTATTTGTTTTAAACCTGCACCTATTAATTTCATTTGGTGACTTCTAGTTCCTGTGTTATGGGAACAGGTAAATAACTTTTCCTTCTTTATTTCTCCACACCCACTCATCTGAAGAAATGGGTTGTGACCATGATAGATGGTTTTTTCTCTCTCTCACCTCCTCCGCCCCCCGCCTTAAGGTGTTACAGAACCACTTGTGTAAGTCTTTCTCCACACCAGTCATGATGACCTCTATCATGTTCTCCCTTAGTTTTCTCTTTTCCGAGCTCAAAAGTCCCAGTTTTATTAATCTCTCCTCATATGGCAGCTCTTCCATTCATCTCATCATTTTTTTTTGTCCTTTTCTGAACTTTTTTCCAATACCAAGATATCTTTGAGATACGGTGACCACATCTGAATACAATATTCAAGATGTGGGTGTCCCATGTATTTATATAGAGGCAATAAGATAGAATCATAGAACCATAGAGCTGGAAGAGGCCTCAGAAGGTCATCAAGTCGAGCCCCCTGCTCTAGGCAGGACCAATCCCAACTAAATCAACCCGGCCAGGGCTTTGTCAAGCTGAGACTTAAACACCTGTAGGGATGGAGACTCCACTCTCCTAGGTAACCCATTCTGGTGCTTCACTACCCTCCTAGTGAAATAGTTTTTCCTAGTATCCAACCTGGACCAATGTAGCCAGACAGGAACCCCCCTTGTAACATCCATTTTTGCTTGACTGGAGCATGCAGGGCACACAGAACAGAAGGCCCAGGCTGCTGTGACCGTGAATGGCTGTAAAAAGAGATATGCCAATTGCTGACCAAGAGGCTGCCAAAGAGCGTCCTTGACTTAACCCATATTGATACGAACACTCAGCCGTCTGCAGGGGGAGGAATCTCTCGCCCAGTAAAAAAATGTCTAGTACACACAATTTAGTTCTCTCTCTTGCAAGTGTAAATTAACTTGAAACTTGCTCGTAAGAACTGGCTCCACAAAACGGACCAGTACATTTCGGTATCTTAGATAAGAAAGAGGATACGGGCCCCCAGGGGTATATAGATGGGTCCAGCAGCACATCTTCTCTGAGTGTCAATCTACCATCTATCTGCTGGTCGGGTTAGGTGTTTGATCTCCTGAGGTTCCAGAGGGGACGCCCACCTCGTATTCGTCTTTCCTAGGAATTGAGACACCGGCCCTGGTCTGACACGCTGGAGTCGAGAGGCACAGAAAGGGGTAAAAATTGTACCTGGATGTGGTCCTTTGTCTTAAGTGTACACATAGATTTAGAGCTCTTTAAAGATTAAGCTGTCAGTTGGTACCATTATTTCTATTTTCTATCTACCTTTTTCCTGTAACCATGTTTAAAATCTATATTTGCTAGCAGTTAAGAAATAGAGCAATAGCCATTGTAACCATATGCTTTTATAAGTCTTTTTAATAAACCTGTAACTGTTTAAGCTTTAACCTGACTCCTTCAGTTGCTGTAACAGAACCAAGCACAATTTAAAAGAACTTCAGCCAGTCATAAGGGACAGGTATAGGACACACCCTACCCTGACCATCGGCTGACAACCTCTCTCACCACAACTTGACACCATTGCTCCTTGTTCTGCCATCTGTCACTACTGAGAACAGCCTCTCTCCATCCTCTTTGGAACCTCCCTTCAGGAAGTTGAAGGCTGCTATCAAATCCCCCCTCCCTCTTCGCTTCTGCAGACTAAACAGACCCAAGTCCCTCAGCCTCTCCTCGTAGGTCATATGCTCCAGACCCCTAATCATTTTGGTTGCCCTCCGCTGCACCATCTCCAATGTGTCCACATCCTTTTTCTAGTGGGGGACCCAGAAGTGGACACAATACTCCAGATGTGGCCTCACCAGAGCTGAATAAAGGGGAATAATGACATCTCTGGATCTGCTGGCAATGCTCCTCTTAATGCAACCTAATATGCCATTAGTCTTCTTGACTACAAGGGCACACTGTTGACTCATATCCAGCTTCTCATCCACTGTAACCTCCGGGTCCTTTTCTGCTGAACTACTACTTAGCTGGTTGGACCCCAGCCTGTAATAATGCTTGGGATTCTTCCGTGCAGAACTCTACACTTGCCCTTTTTGAACCTCATCAGATTTCTTGTGGCCCAATTCTCCAATTTGTCTAAGTCACTCGGACCCTATCTCTGCCCTCAAGCGAATCTACCTCTCCCCCTAGCTTAGTGTCATCCACAAACTTGCTGAGGGTGCAATTCATCCCCTCATTCAGGTCATTAATAAAGATATTGACCAAAACCGGTCCTAGAACCAAACCTTGGGGCACTCCGCCAGAAACCAACCGACATCCTGACATCGAGCCGTTGATCACTACCCGCTGGGCCCGACCTTCTAGCCATCTTTCTATCCATCTTACCGTCCATTTATCCAATCCGCATTCCCTTAACTTGCTGGCAAGAATATGGTGCAATTCATCCCCTCATTCAGGTCATTAATAAAGATATTGACCAAAACCGGTCCTAGAACCAAACCTTGGGGCACTCCGCCAGAAACCAACCGACATCCTGACATCGAGCCGTTGATCACTACCCGCTGGGCC